CACCCAGGGGGGTGCCCCCGGATCTGCATAGCGCGGCACATACTGCAGCTGCGGGGTGGAGCTGGTGCTGCACGGGGCTCTTCTCAGCAGGGGCTGGGCTGGAAGCAGGCTCCGTCAGCACTGGAAGGAGGCTACAGCCACCCCTAATTTCGCCACAGCTCTGCTCCCAGCCCTGCACTGCATCCCTGGCTTTTCCCGGTATTTCAGTCGAGGTGGGGTGTTCAGCCGGGCTGTGCTGGGCAGTGGCATGGGGTGAGGAGTGGAGCTGTGGCAAAATTTGGGGTGGTTGCATCCTCCTCCCAGCGCCGCCGGAGCCTGCTCCAAGCCCAGCCCCCGCCAAGAAAAGCCCCATGCAGTGCCGGCTCCAGCTCCACCACGCAGCTGCCACCCGCCCTGCACCGCGCAGATCCGGGGGCACGTGCCACCCTAGCCCTACCTGGGTGCAAGCAGTGGCAAGAGCTGCCCCCACCTCATGAGCCGCGCCTCCAGCCTGGGCCCCCCTCCCTGCCCTGGCAGGGCAACACCTGCCCTTGCCCTTCCGTCACTGTGGGGGCCTTGATCTGTCCCCACTATGCTCCTTCCCTCCCCCCTCACCTTCTGACTTACCAGCTGGAGACAGCTCTTCATGCTGCCAGCTCTGTGCTGGGGCATTTATTGGCCAAATTAACGGCCCATCAGGCCGATATCCGATGTAGACAATTTTCTTTATATCGGTACCGATCTGATATCAAACCGATGTAGCAGTGCACCTCTAGTTTATATGAATTCTTCATTTAACAGTTTTTGAATTAAACTTTTCACGCATATTTCCAGGACTAATTCTGCACAACATGCAGACTATAAAGTGCCTTGCAGAATCCTTGCCCTCATCCTTTTTAAATATTTATTTCATAATAGATCATTATAAGAGGATTTTTCAAACAGCCATTTTCTTTGGTGACTTCAATACTGGTGGGTCTTCACTTCAGTCTTCAGTCTCCTAGTGAAAAAAACAGAGAGCTGCTTCTCCAGTCCTCCCCATAACACTTCTCAGCCTTGTCCTTTATATACCTATGGAAGTGCCAGGCTGGCTGAAATCCCATTCCTGTTCTCAGTCTCCAGCTTCTGTAAAAATGTCAATAGTGTTTTTGTTGTTGTTTAATAAAAACACTATTAAAACTAGGTTCAGCCCCCACTTGTTTCTTATAAACTGGCTAGCCTCTATTACAACAACGACTTCAGGTTACTACTGGCTTGAGCTTGATTTAAAAACTGAAAACAATGACTAAAAGTAAGAGGCATTGTCAGTCCACTGCTCAATCATTTCCAGTACCTTGTAGAATTGAAGGAGAATATTCTCCAACCCCATTCTGTTTCACAAATTAATGCATATCTAGTTAATTTTAATAAGATAAGGAAATGTCTTTAAAATCTAACCTCAGGAAACTTCCTGCAGGACTCTTTAGATTATATGGTGCTAATGCTATGGTTGTCATTTCCATCTCTTTGTAACCGTGGAGCAAGTTCCATGCTAAATGGGCATGGAATGCAAAAAGAGGACAGGTAGAGGTTGCTCTACTGCTCTCATGAAGTGTGAATTTCAGTTTGTGGCCAGAACCCTGAAGGATCCATGATAGCAAGGGCTATATTGATTCAGCACATTTTACAAGTACTTGCCATCTATTTCCTCTTCTCTGGCTAGAACAAGGGTGGGCAGTTATTTGGACTGGAAGGCTACTTAAGTTCTGGTGAGCTGCAGAGGGCTGGGAGGCATGGGGGGAGATGCCAGTTGATCCTGTCCAACCCACTGGGAGCCTGAGAAGGAGGGGCTGCACCCTGGGCCACTCCACTCTGCTGTATCTGGGGCTGGGCTGGGCTGGGCTGAGCCAGGCCACGCAGCGCAGACTTCTTGCTCCCCATATCCATTGCCCCTGCTCCAGTTCCCATTGGCACTGTGTAGTCCTGGCACTGCAGCTGCTGACAAACAGGCTTGCACAGCAGAGGGCACAGTGCAGGGCGCTGACTAGCCATCCCATCGGCCCACTGTGATGAGCTACTGCCATCACACGGCACTAGGAACATTGGGGGTGGCTTCCCTAACCTGAAAACCCTCCACACAGCCAGCACAGACTCGCTTCCTGCTGGTGCTGTGGCAGTGGCAGCAGCTTATTACAGTGGGTGGGCAAGCAGGACAGCTACTTGGCATGCTGCGTTGTACCCCATTCCAGCAGCTGCAGCGCCAACAGGAAGGTGCTGGGGGGAAAAGGGGGGTGGAGGAGTCTGCAGTCTACATGGCTCAGTCCAGACCCAGTTAGGGCACAGAGTGCAGCCCTCCCTCCTCAGGATCCTAGCAGTGATTGGTGGGCTGCATATTAATTGGAGGGCTGGATACAGACTGCATTTTGCCCACCCCTAGGCTAGAGCCTGCCACTGTAGTGCCCCAGCATGCTCTAGTAGCATGAGCTATGTCTGGACAGACTTCTGGCTTAGACATTTGGTGAAGTCAAGCTGAGTGGACTATTTATCTAGCATTTCTTTAAAAAAAGCATGAAAAGTTACCTTGGGACTATTAGGTTGGTCTTAAAAGGAATCTGAAACCTTGTGAAGAGGTTGAAGGCTGTTGTTTTCAGAGATGTTAAAGTTGCCATCTGTTCATAGGCTAAAGCTAAACTGTTATTTGGGGTGGGGATACAGGTCATAAACAATCTGTATGTTGTGCCAGTGTTGGGGAGTTCTTTTGTCCAAGCTCCAGACTTTTTTGAAGGGATTCCATTAACAAAAGAGGTTTCTTTTTGAGGTAGGAAGTTTATCTTTTTTAGTAAAAACTTTTTAAAGATTCTAATTCCCAGGCACAGTAAGATTAAGCATCCAGAACAAAACTTTAGGTACTTGTTTCAGCTGCAGTAGGATTTACAGCAACTTAATTCTAAACCTGAACCATATTATTTTGAAGAATAATCTACTATTCTAGTCTTTGAATTGTTAATTTATCTCTGATGGCAAAGCAATCTGATATGTAACTAGCTGGAAGTTTAAATATTTACTTTGCTTTAAAGCAAGGAGGTGGTAGATGAAAAGGATTGTGATGAGAAATACAGCTTTTTATCATTTGTAGCCAAAGAATTGAGTCTCTAGGAGATTGTGTGCATTTTAACTGAAAAATAAGTAGTGCCACAAAGAGTGAAAATGTATCTCTCATATTCATCTTACATTAGACAAACATTTCCAAGATATGTATTGCCCTAACTTATTTTTTTAAATCAAACTTCTGAAGACTTTAGAAAACTCTCTTTGTTTTAAGATTTCTTGTCACAAAATGATAAGCATCTGTTTGCTGTAAAGAACTTGGATTATGTACGAATACAAAAAGCAAAATGTAAATGAAGAGGGAAAACATTGTGTTCTGCTCTGCTTAATAAGTGTTTTTTTTACTCAAATTTTCTAACACAAGTTTAACATCTATGCTGTTAACACTTCATTGTTAGTTGTGTAGGGCATCAGTGGAGTAAGTTCTCAAATGTTCAGTCTTAATGTCTAAAGTTTTACTTTTGACTAACAACACTGACAGAACTTTATCAATTCTAAAATGGCTATTGTACTTAGTTTACCATGACTTTGTAAGATGGCAGCATTGCTGAGCTGCTTTACTTAACAACTTTGCCTCTTGTATTCATGGAACCATAGAAAATTAAGGTTAGAAGGGACCTCAGGAGAGGTCATCTAGTCGAAACTCCTGCTCAAAACAGGACCAACTAGATCATTCCAGCCAGGGCTTTGTCAAGCCAGGCCTTAAAAACCTCCTTAAACACCTCCAAGACTCCACCACCTTACTAAGTAACCTGTTCCTGTACTTCACCACCCTCCTAGTGAGAGTTTTTCCTGATATCCAACTTAAACCTCCCTTGCTGCAACCAGGAAGGTTAGTTATTACTAGGCTTAGATCCTACAAACCATATGGACAGTTTAGTCATGTTTAACATATTTATTTAAACGTTTCATTAAAGTAACAATGATACAATGTGTTTTCCAAAATGGAATCAACACATTGCCTTTTCATCATTGATCAGGCAATGAACATTAGTTAAAACAAACAAACACCGCACAAATTAACTCAGTTTCACATAGATTTCTTGTGTAATGCAGACGAAAGCTTAAGGTAACAGCTGTTAACAAGGACCTTTTAAAAGAAGGGAAGGAAACATCTTGGTTGTTAAGGAAAACCACGAGAAAATGACTGGTTAAAGTATACAGTCTCAGGAGGTCACAGAAATAAAACATGCCATGCCATCAAAACAGATGTAATGTAATTGCTTTCCTGCAGCACCATGCATGGTCTTCAGGTGGTGCAGACGTGCCCAGTGTGGGAAGCAACATTTTAAGAACAGTGGGTTGTTTTGTTTTGTTTTTTTAGTATATACAGTTATTTTAAAAAGCCCCAATGCCTTTTGCTACATTTTGAAAATGTAATTGGGAGGTCTAACAGCTCAACTCTCAGGTCCTTGATGGGAAGAAGAGCATTCATGAGTCATATTTAAGTGCTTTTTTTGGAACGATATCCATTAATTGAATTTAGAAAAGGGGTTTCCTTTTTCCTTTATGCACAATAGATTAATGTTTGTATTTTTTTCTTTTGGTTCGCAACATAATTTCACGTGGTTTATTTTTATTACATGTAAGCAATAAAGCATTCTTGAAAAAGATTTCATAGACATTGGGGCTGGAAGGGACCTCGAAAGATCGTCGAGTCCAGCCGCCCACCCAAAGGGCAGGAAGTCAGCTGGGGTGATAGGATCCCAGCAAGATAAGCATCCAATTTGCTCTTGAAGGTGTTCAGTGTAGGTGCTTGAACCACCTCTGGCAGGCAGTTCCAAACCTTGGGGGCTTGGACAGTAAAGAAATTTTTCTTTATGTCCAGGCTGAAACAGTCTTGCAGTAGTTTATAACCGTTCGACCTGGTCATCCCTTGGGGCGCTCTGGTGAACAAACGTTCCCCCAGAAACTGGTAGTCACCCCTGATAAACTTATAGGTGGCCATCAGGTCACCCCTGAGCCTGCACTTTTCCAGGCGAAAGAGCCCCATTGCTCTCAGCCTGTCGTTGAAAGGTCTATTTTCCTGACCGCTGATCATGCACGTGGCTCTTCTCTGGACTCTCTCAAGCTTCTCCACATCCTTTTTGAATTGTGGAGCCCAAAACTGGACACAGTACTATGATAAAAACCTCTTACTCTCACTACAGAAAACTAGCATAAATTGCATAGAATTCTGAGACAATGACTTTAGTAGAAGCTTTTTGGTTTTTCTCTGCTTTTGAAATATATTAAATCTTGTTGCTTAAATATAGACTTAACACGCCAACAGCAGTAAAAGGAAGAATGACACCACTTGAGCCCAAATTTTATAGAGAGATTTCAGTTTTGAATATACATTTTCATCTGCACTTTATAGTTTTTGTTTTACAGATTAATATTTTAGTAGCAGCGTAAGAGTTTGGTCTTGCATGACAGTACTTAGAACTTAGAATGCACCAAATATTGCATGAAGATAATTCTGCAGACCTCAAAAAGTGTGCCTCTGGACAAGGCATCCACATGTGCTCCAATAAGGAACACTTACAGCCCTGTATACGTTATATTTATGCGGCAAAGTAAAGTGTTAACCATGACATAAATGGCAAAGTTGCTACACGTGCACCCAATTTAAGGGGTTTTAAAATGTCAGACTAGTCAAAAATGTTCCGCATATACTGTAGAACATTTTTATGACTGAATTGCATAGCACCTTAAGTTGAATGTGTGGCATGTCTGGGGCTGCCCCTGGGTCAGGGCTGAGGCCAGTAATCAGCTGATTGTCAGCCCAGGCCCTGGGACCACACCTGGTCAGGCTGGGCTGCAGGCACCCAGCTTTCAACATGCCAGTGCAAGGGGAGTCTGGGGTCTGGATCCCAAGCTCCTCCTGCACTGGCAAATAAAAAGGGAGCAACTGAGATCTGATTCCTGATCCCAACAATTCTGCCTCCTGCCATGTACATGGGACAAGGCAGGAGGAGGTGTGCTTGTTGGGATCTGGGATCGGACCCCATGGCACCTTTACATAAATGTGGGATAAGGGCCTTAAATAACAAGGGCTCATTAACTGAGTGAAATTTCAGAGTTTATCAGAAAGAATGCAGTATAACATCCTTGCCATGCCATCTAGTGCTTGGAGTACAAAATGCAGCAACTTAAAATACTTACATAATTCTTTGCTAGATCTAACATCCTTTGTATGTTAGCAAATATATTTAAGCCTTCCTAATAGTTTAATTTTAAAGGCTTCCAGTGTCTGTCTTTAATTCCTCTAAGTTTGCCTCTTGGACATAATATTTTGCTCTCAGCAGCTATTGTGGCTTTGCCTCTGTGAAATGGTGACAATCACAAACTCCATGAACATGTCAGTAAGCTGTTACTGAGGTATTATTATCTGTGGTTTTTTTCCCTTACCCATTTTGTGTGACGTGGCTGTCATGGAACGGTTTTTAAAGACAAGAGATAGCAATACTATGAATAGCTGTGCAAATAGCAGTGATGTCAACAGAGGCAGAATTTAAGTAATCTGAAATGAGATTTAATATTGAGAGTGTATCATAGCCATGAAATAAAGGTTTAGACCAAAAGAAAGCAAAAATAATATTTGTGGACCATTAATTTTATTTAATTGAAGCCTAACTAAATTGCTTTTTCATTCACCCTTTAAGCTTTTGTATAGTTTTTGAATATGTGTGCTACAAACATTTACAGAAGTGCCTCAGGTGCCTTGCATGAGTTTAACTGGAACAGCTTTACCACTTCCATCTGCAATTGTGAATCCCAAAAACTCATGCTTACCTTCATGAACTCAAGTCTTATTAGCATCAACAGGGCTATTGGCACATGGCTATAGTTTGTGTTGTGCTACTTGTAAAGTGAATTTCATTCTTTTTTACATTAGTTAAAGAATAATTTGTGGTCTGAAACATTAAAAGCAAACTGAGTTAAGCCAAACATTTTCCAACTGCTTCCTTTATTTTCTCAACAGGAGTAAAAAAGGATATTGAAAAACTTTATGAAGTAGTGCCACAGCTTGTAAATGTTTTCAAAATTAAGGAGAAAATTGGAGAAGGTAAATGTGTATTTTTGTTTTGGCTTAAAACTTGTATATCTTAAACTTACATGCATCTAACTTGACAAGTTATAAAACTACCCAGTGTAGTCCAATATTTGCAGATTTTTATATGGTGGCTTTGGTTTGCTTTTTAGTATTGTTAGAAGTAGATGAATTTTAACTCAACTGCAAGTATGAAATATCTTTAATTACAGCATTTAAAGAGATTTTCTTACCAGATGCTTGAAACCTCTGGTATAAATACGCTTTTAGAGAACCTGCTTGATACAGACTGCCATATGCTTTAAAGCACAGATTAATTCTACTGTACATTAGTATGGCTTTGCCACAATATGCTAATGCACTAATGTGCAATAAAATTAGTCTTCTGTGCATTAAGTGTCACAAAGACCATGCACCAGGCTAATACGTAGTAGTGCCAATTACTGCACATTTAGTTAGTACTTCATATTAGAGGTACTAAATTTTATGCTCAGTAACAACCGTGCTCAGTATCTACTACAGGTTCCTGTGGCTTTTGGAGTAATTGACTCAGTGTAACCATATAACATTTTATCTACCTATATTTGACTGTCAGTAATACATGGTGAGATGCATGTTTGCAAGATTAGAGCCATAGACAGCTTAGAAAATTTCACTCACTTCAGAACTGACATAAAAAATTCTTTTATTTTCAATTTTAAGAAATTTAACTAGAAATTTGTTCTAACAGGTCTTTGAGATTGCATTATCTGAGGTAACTGACAACATGTTTAACTTCTTACTGTGCAAAATTAATTAAAAGAAAATTCCATATTTAACTTGATAAAGTTCAAAAGAATACAGAATCTTGTCTTCTGAATAAACCATAGAACATATTTAAATAAGGTTTTTGGTTTCATTTATGACCCTATTACTGGGAGTGAATATGTTGCTAGAAAGTAACATTGGCAGTTCTGCATCTTCTGTAAAGATAAGTTTCTACTTTTGCTGACTGCCTGCAGATCATGTTTCTTTGCAGCAGCATTCCTTGCCCAGTAAACTGCTTACCAATTATTAACAGGTATTGGAGATACTTTTTTTTAACTCAAGTGATAAAGACTGTGTTCTTGTGGGAAAAGGTGTTGAATCTGCTAACAACTGATCATTGTGTACAGTTGAAGACTTATATAATTATTGTAGATTTTATTTTACAGTTTACTCATATGAAAAGCTCTTTATTTTGTACCTTCAGATTTCTAGAATAAAAGAGGGCAACTATTATCAGTGCAGAAACCACCTTTTGATGATTTACTTCTGTGTTTACGTGCCAAAATAACATACTGTCTAGTCTCTTTGAGATTTGTTTCAGTTTTAATGGCTGCCTCTGAATGTTTAAACTTTTTGCGTTCAAAATATAAGCACATACTTAAGTAACCTTATTTGCTCTCATCTGTTTCCTACCCCCACAATATGGCAAGTTTATAGTGAAGAATTGGTATGGATTTTAATGCCAGTTTTATAGTACAGTTTTAATGTGACTTGACATCTTTCTCTCTAGCTGTGGCAGTCAGAAGACTAATGTGAGTTGGAAAAATACTATCAGTTGAAAAACAAAAACAGAACTAATCTAAAAGTGTTAACGTATACACTTCATAAGATAAAAGTGTTAATTTATACACTTTATAAGCTGAAAACTAACATTTTTACAGGTACTTTTAGTTCTGTTTACTTGGCCACAGCACAGCTGAAAGCAGGATATGAGGAGAAAATGGCTTTGAAACATTTGATTCCAACTAGTCATCCTCTACGAATTGCTGCTGAACTTCAATGCCTTACAATAGCCGGGTAGGTAAACCAAAATATAGTACCTGAGAGTTAGCAAAGGATTTAGGAATGTAATGGAAGTTTCTGAGGCTCTAAATTTGTATCTAGTTTTTAGCTTTGCCACTTCACTGAGATATTTGACCACAACAAAAGAAAAACAACTTTATTAAGGGCAAACCAGAAATGGAACATGTTAGTTACACTGCCATTGTGGCTTTATGATTATATCAATTTGAAGCTCATTTTGTATTGGCTAGAAAAGACTTGCACAATAAGTATGTGCACTCATAAAAGTGTTTTAGCCCGGGAATGGCAATGATAGAAGTTTACCAATGCAAAATTATAGATACCTGGCACAACACTGGCAGCACGTTGGGGAGGGGGGGCATGTGCCCCCCTGACTTCTGCATCAGTGGGCAGAAGCAGTGGGGGCAGTGGCATCAGTGGTGTACATTTGTACCCCTCCACTCTAAATGCTTACTCATCATTTATGTGGCGCAGAGTTCTCTTTACTGGTTTGGGAACACAGATATCTTATACTTGCAAGTCTTTCCTAAGCTTGTTCTAAACCAGTTGCTTTCTATGGGCTCCATTCTGTGCTACTCAGGACATGCTCAACTGCAGGCTGTGAAGCCCAAATGGTCTGCTGAAGCCTTCATTGCAAAATGAAGACCAAAATCTGAGCAAAACAGTCAAGAAACTGCTGTTCAAAATAAGTGACAGTGGGTACATCTAGATGAGACTCTTTACGGCTCAGTAGCATAGTTAAGTAAGCATGTACATCTGCACATGCTTACTGTACAGTAAATCTCACTAATCACGAGTAAATTTGCTACGTGCAAATGCAAGTAGCAAATTCAGTTGCAATTAGTTACTGCACAGTAGGACTCGTAGATGCCTGACCAGGAGCAAATCTGTTCCCAGTCAGCCAGCCACCAGGGTGCAGGAGATAGCTCTTAGGGGCAGGATCAACCACCAGAGCCTGGGCCAGGACTATGTCCCCCTGCCCAACAGCAGGGAGCTCCAAGCCCCTCCCCAGTGGGGCCTGGGAGATTCTTATCTCCTGCAACTTCAAAACCTGGGCTGAGAGATCCTTATCTCCCAGTGCTAGCTCCGCAACCCCAGGGTCAGTGCTGCGGGGTATGGATAGTCACAGAGTTGACACTGGGAGATACCTGGCCCTGCAGTTGCAGAGCCGGAGCTGGGAGCTCCCTGCTGGCACGGGCTGGGGAACCTGTTCCCCACTCTGCTCTGTGATCATAGAGCTGGGTAGGGAAAGGCTGGGGAGCTTGTTCCCTGCTCAGCTTTATAGTCACGGAGCTGGGTGGGGAACAGGCTTCAGTTGCAGAGCTGGCGCTGGGAGAAAAGGATCTCTCAGCCCAAGCCCTGTGGTCATGCAGCTTGGCCTGGGAACTGTCTCAGTCAAAGTCAGGTCCCAGCCCCACTGGGTGATTGAGGCGCGGGGCTTGGAAAGTGCTGCAGAAGTGGGGCAGGTCCCAACCCTCTGCCCTGATCCCCTGGTGGGGCAGTTAACACCCTGGCTGGGTGGGGATTCTTGCTATTAGCTGCCCCACCAGCAGATAGGAGTAAGGGGTACTCTG